AGACCTTCAAACTGAGTCAATAAGTTAAAATAAGAAATTAAAGAGTTAAACATAACTAATAAAAGGTTTAAAGGGGCAATAAATCTTCTCCAATCTCATAACTAATTCAATATAACAAAAAGTTCAACTTCTAGTGAATATGAAACCTCCATCTCTAATATGGAAACCCTGTGTGTAACGATGATGCCATCACCAAATGAATGTCCACAAACAATTAATGAAGATAATCAATAAAATCTAATTAACATGTTAAATCTTCAAAAATGGCATTTCAAAGTTAAACTTTTCACATGTAATGATTTTGAAGTTGAAGTTGTTGCATTTATTGACATTGGTGCGGATTTAAATTGCATACAGGAAGAGTTTATACCAACAAACTATTACTATAAAATAAATAAAAAGTTAAGTTCAGCTAATGGTAGTAAAATGAGTACAAAATACAAGCTACCAAAAGTACAACTTTGTCAAGACAATATATGCTTTAAAATATCATTTGTGTAATCCTTATTCCCCCAATAGTTAATCTTTAATGAAAAGGATTAAACAATAATAAATAACTAACTGGTCTTAACTTGTAAGAATACAAAGTACAATTAAGTGAAAATTAACTTACAAATAGATAGCTGGGGGATATTCTTCATTTGCAACATATGAAGAAATGTTTACAATGGGGGAAGTGATGGCTATTATGGCCTTCATTATTCCTCCTTGCTACAAATGCCTGAAATCCTTATATAGGCGAACAAATTTTTCAAGAGAATCTGTTGAATGATTTCTCATTTGACTGGGTAATTGCTTTTTTTTTTTTTGATTTACTTTAATGAAATGGGTTTTACCCTCGCATTTTGGTGGGATTCACTGGAGTAAACTGCATTTACTTAGGTGAATGCTAACTTTGCTGATAAGTGGGTTGGATGCTTTTGCTTTTGCTTTTGCTGATTTACTTTAGTGAAATGATTTTCACTCTAACCTTTTTGTGGAAAAGAGTCTTGACGAAATGTTTTTTTTGGCCATGATTCATAAAGAGATAGTTTTTCTTTCTTTCGAGGGAAAAAGTATTGATTGAAGCTCTTTATTCACATGGATGTAGGACTTGAATGATAGGCCAGATGAATTATGGATTAGATAGATCATAGGCATTATCTAGGTCCTGGGCATCCTAGAATAGATCTTGCGGGTGACTAATAGAGGTTTCTGATGAGTGGAAGAAGCATCATCATCTTGAATAACTTGTTGGAGTAACTGTTGCTCTAGCTCAATTAACTGAGATTTCTTTTTCTAAGACTTACTGGAGATCTTGGAAGAAACTGTGGATTATTTTATTACAGGTGGTTGTGCTGGATGGACAGGAGTTGAAACTCTGAGAACTAGAGCTGTCAGTTTAACCATGAGTGGAACAACAGGTTTACCGGTGGCTGTACTTGTAATTGGAGTGGGAACTGTAACTAGAAATTCCGTTATAACTTGGTCAATGATGCAATGGTGCTCAGACTTTGCTCATCATTTGACGTAGAATTGGCGAATAACTATGTTAGTAGAAATAGACTACTGCCATTTGAGGATCCATGGAACCTTGTATTTACTCATAAATAGGAGCAATATAGGGAACTGTGAGTCATGTTGAATAACTTTAAAAGTAAAGGAGAAATAAGTAACTTGATTTTGGAGATCAAAAGGAAGAATTTCGAGCATCAGGCCATGTTGTTTCCACCATCGCAAAAGCCATGAAGGAATCTAACTCTTGAAATTCTTTGTAGAGAAACAATTTAAACCATGACTCAATGTAGTCATAATAACTAAATTGCTTGGTATCACTAGAAAGATCTCGAAGAACATAAAGGTGAGATCCCCAGTCTTTTACTGAGATAAACTTGAGAATATAAAGAGAATGATAAACTATTTTACTAGCATCTTTTTTATCATTAACAGGTTTTATAAAGATTGACTCTGTGTGAAACAGGATGTCATGGTAGAACTGGAAATTTTTTACTAGATCTAGTGGAATGAAATTCCAACCTGGTTCAAGGTAGGCATCAAATATATATATTACAATAGAAAATCGAAAATTAGTGTATGCATATTGCAATAGACTGAATTGGTCCCTTAATTATAAAATTTATGAACAAATAGGTTTTTGTTCCAATGGTACTACTTACCTTGTAAAGGTTTTACCTTCTTGAGATCAAGAGTTCAAACTTCCTTCTCTCCCCCTCTTCCCAAAAAAAAAAAATTGAATTTAGGACACCATTTATTAGGTTGTCTATTTGGTAATTTGCACCTTATTTTAGTATTATAGTTAAGAACTTTTAAGTCAATTTACATACACTTCAACTAATTCTCTCTTTAGTATAATAAAAAATAAATCATCTATGCTAAGTAAGTTTTGAAGTTAGAACGTCTAAGCTTACACTTAATCCCTCTCCACTAAACTATATCTTACATTAGCTATGAAAGACTATTGCCCATGCCAAAATATAGTAAGTAACCATTATTGTCTTCGACTCCCACAGTCAAAAGACCATGAGTTAAATCTTGTCAAAATCAATAACTAATTTTTCATGTCTCTTTTTGTGAGGGTTTTTTTTTTGATATCGTAACAATGATTTATTTATGTGGTTACAATAGTTAGACATTACATTGATTGATGAGAGATTAACTATATGGTAAAAAAAACTATACATATATATATATATATATATATATATATATATATATATATATATATGAGTCGAACAAAATATACAACAAATTATAAGTACAACAGACTAAAATATATGGCAGTTAATCAATTTCAATATGGTATCTATTTTTTTAAGGAGCTGTAGCATATCTTACAAGTAGATATGGTTTCATTTGAACTCTAACCTTATCATCTGTTTAGTTTTGTGGAAAAATAAATGAATGAAAAATGACATTTTTCTTTATTGCGTACGTAAGAAAAATTGAGAAAAAATGAAAAGCGGGTGAAAAATATATCCTTTTTGCTCACCATTTTTAATCGCTCCAAAAATGGACGGAAAGTGAATGGAAGGAGGCAGCTCATGCAAAAGTTCCTTAAAAAGACCATTTTAACCCTAGAGAGGCAGATGTTTTTTTATGTACCGAACCAAATTAATGGGGTCCGCAACACAATCATTTGTCTGTTGAAAGTTACCGTAAATATCTTTTATATATAGAAGTGTACTTATGATTATTCTTTAATATATTTTTACTCATTTATTTTCTCAGATGACATAAAATAATTAAAAAATATACATTTTTTTTCTTTAAATGCTAAAGAGTGTATTCATCATAATTTTCATTCGTTGTTTTTTATCTTTCATATTGTATGTTCATCAATTTTAATTATTATTTTAAATTAGACAATATGTAACTGTTAATTTAAAAAAATAAATTATTGAAAAAAATTGTAGAAAGACAGTCCAGCACAGTAGGACCTACACGAAGTCTGCAGTGTGAAATGACAGAGAGGTATCACGGACGGAATCGCATCGAAAACACCCCCTCCCTCGGGAAATTCAACACTCTCTCTATCTCTCTCTCTCTCTGACTATCGGTCCCCACCCTTCATGAGCATGAGTATCGAGTATTGACTAGAAGCTCAATTTGGGTCCAACTTAATTATGCTGTAATCATTCTATTGTATACCCTCATCTGAACAAACGGACTAGGACCATAGAGGTGGCTTACTTTTTTTTTCAACCCATTTCGATTTCGAAACCAATCCCATCATCCACTTTCTAGCATGTTTTTCCTGCCAGGTTTTCTCACTATATTTTACTAATAAATTCTCATGCTCTATTTATCTGAGACAACCCCATTTCTATTACAATTACGTTAACTAATATTATCAAGTCGATAAATTAACAACATTTGATAAGAGCCTCTAACAATTGTATCGATTTCTCCTACTGTCCCATTCAAACTTTTGCACATTCACATTTACCCTTCTAAAAACTAGTTCAGGTGTAGTTTGTCCCCGTTAGACCAATTATGGGATACATCATCTTCTCGTAGATAATGTTTGTTTATGTTATGTACTTATTTTCTATACATTTATTTTATGTAATATTAAAGGTAATTAGTTAGTTAATTGGAGAATATGTCATACTGAGTTATTGTAAAGTATTTTGTGAGGAATTTTCTAGGCGGTTATTGAGATAATAGAGGCATGAGTTAGATTAGCTATTAAGGTAAATTTTTATCAACTTATATTTAAAGGGTTTTATTATCAGTAGAAATGATATGTTGAATATTATATTAAATTTTCTTGTGAAGTTTTCAAAATAGGTTCTTCTCGAATTGAGTCATTGAAAATTTTCATCCCCTACAAAACTAGTTTTTTTCCTTAATTTTATTTTTTATTTGTTTTATAAATCACTCAAAATTGTGCAGGTAACAATTTCTTTTTTATTTAAATTAATTGAGCTATTTTTGTTGTATTTCAAATATGTGAAGACAATGTGTAATATTATTTGAGATTTAAAAATTTGATATAATTTATTAATATAATAATATCTTATACGATAAAATTTTAATAAAAAAGTCGATATTTATAATTATATACTAACACTATTAAATTATATTATTATCACATCATTAAATTATTTATTACTAGAAGACAATTGTCACTTTCACAATGAAAACCACTGTCCCCGTACAAAAACACCTCATTTTCTGTGTAGAATCTACCAAAATAAACATTTTTACAATCACTTCATCTTAGCCAAAACATTTTAAAAAAACTTAACCAAAACACTGAGACATGTATAGAATGCACTTTATTGATTGATATTTGAAAACCCAATTAAGGTGTGAATTAAAAAAAAAAATTGGGGTATATAATAAATATAGGATGGCATTGTTTTATTTCTTTAGGCTATAAGTGACTATTTTTAATTCTTTGGTCTTGATAATTGAAATTTGAGCTCGAAAAGCTACAAATTACACAATAATCTACACATTCTACTAACAAGCAGCATACAGCCAATGCATACATACAAAACACATATAACACTGTTTTAGAGAGGAGAGAGAAAGATGGTGGCCCAGCAGCTAAATCTATGGCTCACCCACCGACTTTGAAAATATGGGTAAGATAAAGGAGAAAGGATGTGGAAGAGTAAGCTTGTGAGAGAGAGAAAGAAAGGGGTGGTTAGAAAAAGAGATGAAATATTCTCTTTAGCTCTCAAAGTTTTTGGTCTTTTCTTTTGAAATCAAACAAAGGTCTCGCACCAGATCTCTGTAACAAGAGTCCGAAGTCTCTTAGATCATAGTTTTTTTGGTCTTTTAGGATCCATATGTGTCCGTGTTTTTCTTGTTCTTTTGGCAAAATCTGATAGTTCTGAGATTTGAATACTACCGAGAGTTATCTGTTTGTGTTTGGAGAAACTTTTGGTTGTTTTTGTTTTCTACTGTTTTTGCTTTCAAACAGCTACTTGTTTCCTTACTATCAAAATCAATAACAACAAAGTTTGAGTTCAGATGCAGATGATGTCTGGTGATTTGTTTTCGGTTTCGCCATCAATCAAAGGGTTTGTTCCAGAATCAGATGCGAACCCTAACCCTAAACCTGACACAAACCCATCTGCAAAGAAGAAGAGAAATCTACCAGGAACACCAGGTTCTTCATTTTTCAACCTAATAATTCATTAAGGAACTGTACTGTTTGGTTTTCTTCTTTCCTAATTGTTCGTCTTCAATGATTCTTTTCTGTTTTTGTCTGTTTTCACAGATCCAGATGCTGAAGTTATTGCACTTTCACCGAAGACACTTATGGCGACAAACAGATTCATCTGCGAAATCTGCAACAAGGGATTCCAAAGAGACCAAAACTTACAGCTGCACCGAAGAGGTCACAACCTTCCATGGAAGCTCAAGCAAAGGACTAACAAAGATCAGGTCAGAAAGAAGGTGTACATATGCCCAGAAAAGACTTGTGTACACCACGACCCATCTCGAGCCCTCGGTGACCTCACCGGAGTTAAAAAGCATTTCAGCCGAAAACATGGTGAGAAGAAGTGGAAGTGTGAGAAGTGTTCGAAGAAATACGCTGTTCAATCTGACTGGAAAGCTCATTCTAAGACCTGTGGAACTAGAGAGTACAAATGTGACTGTGGCACACTCTTTTCCAGGTATTTTAATTCTCTCACAATAAATGTTCTTGTTCCTAGATATAAATGCACATGTAGAATCTCTTATGAATTTAATGTTATACCAACTCATTAGAAGGTAATATAAGTGTTATTCTCAACTGGGGCTTCATCAATTTGCACAGGAAAGACAGTTTCATCACACACAGAGCTTTCTGTGATGCCTTAGCTGAAGAGAGTGCCAGATTCACATCTGTTGCTGCTGACAATTTCAACTTCAGGAATGGGCCTTTAAGTGAAACTCTGATTAATCAGCCAAATTTGCCTCATGGGTTCGCCGGAGCTGCCGGAATTTCCCAACTTGCTGCAGCATTTCGGCCGGAGTCTGGTGGCATGGCCACCGGAAATGTTCTAATCGGAGATCAGCAGAAGCCCAGATTGTCTCTATGGTTGGATCAAGCAAATTCTCAGCTTAATCTTGTTGATATGGCCACAAATTCAAATCTTTACATGCCCACAAGTTCTACTGGCTTAAATGATATGGTGCAAATGCCATCTGCGAACCTCTTTGGCTCACCTTCAATGGCTAATTATGGTAACTGCAACCAGTCGCAGTGGTTTGACAAGAATCCGGCGACTTCTACTGATGCAAGTCTCTCATTATCGCCTTTACCACAAGGATTAAAGGATGAGAAAACCCTAAGTAATTCTTTCTACTCTGATAATCAAAATCACCAGTCAAAATCATCATCGCCAATGTCGGCCACTGCGCTTCTGCAGAAGGCGGCACAGATGGGTTCTACCAGAAGCAACCCATCATTCTTTGGCAATAGTTTTGGGGTTATGAACTCTTCTTCTTCTTCTTCCAACACACCTGCTTTTAATCCCCTCTCTCAAAACAGAAATGGATTGCCAATGAGTGCATCGACGAGTGCAACTCAGAACAGTCTTGATCAAGTTATAATGCAAACTGGTGTCTCACAAAACGAATCAGTTCCATTGAAGTTGCATCAAGGTGGTCTAACAAGAGATTTTCTTGGCATGGGAGGTGAAGGTGGTCGTCAGTTCTTGCCTCAGGAGCTAGCAAAGTTTGCTTCAATGGGTTCAGCCATGGGTTTGAGCCATTTTAAGAGCAACCAGTGAATTTGTGGCCTCTCTTCACACACACTTCACAGCCTTTGTATAATATTACACTATCCAAACTTGCCAAGTCCTTAGTTAAGTACAAATTGTGTCTGTTCCATTAGATTAAGAAGGTGGATATTATTGGCCTCAGAGGGAGGGAGAGAGAGAGGAGGGTACAGTGGAGCTGTTGAGGTCCCATGGGATGTCGGAAGTGGACTAAACAAGGAGTCCTCTGAGACGTTTCATTTTGTTCATTTGTTATTGTTCTTCTTCTGCTGTTCTTTATCTGTGTGTCAGTTTCTCTCATCTTAATTTTTTTTCTTTTGAGTTGTAAATTATCTTCAATGCAAGCCTCTTCTATTTTGAGATTCATAAAAACTGCAAGAATAGTTTCATTGATGGCCGGTCAAAGTAACCCGGCGTCAACGTTAGTGGGACTAGTACTAGAATTCTTAGATTTATCCATGTCAATTGTTTTAGATAAAAGCTGGTCGCTGCTGGTTTGGTTTGTCAATGGTAAACGCGTTGTGATTCACTGTTGATGATAAAGTTTCAAGTGTTGAAAATGAAAATAAGATGAAAACACAATTACATGTAAAGTCATGTGCATCACTTAATCTTGAATTTTGTGTGCTTTCGAGAATTTGAAATATGGATGTGCGAGTATATAACTCGTCCACTCCCTTGCTCGACCACAGTATTAGTAATGGTCAAAAAAAATTTCGGATTGGTATTTTTTTTTTGGGTTGAACTTTCAACATGTTATGCATTAAACAAAAAGTTTATCACCATAGATAGCCAACTTTTAGTTTTTCAAGTGGCCTTTGAAAAGGGCAATGAAAGTAACTATTGACTTTTCATTCCCTAAATTTATATGAAAAGTTTTCTCTTGACTTTTGTTCTGCATAAATCTATATGAAAAATTGTAACATTTGTACCAGAAAAAGAAGATAAATAGGAGCTTTATACACCTAGGAACTAAGGCAAAATATTTGTTTTTTCCAACAAGGAACCTTGGAAACTGCCTGGTTTATTATCGATTTTATTCATCTGTCAATGCCAGATACTCTAAGAAGCAAAAGGGTATTATTCCTTTCGAGAAAAATTTGAATGAGTTTAACAGATCATGTGATATTGTCATATATTATGTATGCCCAATAGAAAATTATCGCATAACTAACTTGTGAGATAGACAATTTGACTTTTTTAAACAAAAGTTCTGATAAAGTGATAGTCATCTATCAATCATCGAAAATGTATAATATTTTATTGGTAATATACAATATTTAACACTGTCACGTGCTGTGTTAAACTCACATAAATATTTCTCTCTTTTGACAGTGATTAGGGTGGATAAAAGTGACACCGCTCTTAGCTTAGGGTAGTGCAGTCTCTAAGGAACCATTGTTGGCCACTCAATTTTGACTTTCTACTACAGGAGGATCTGAGTCAGATGATACTGAATTATTAGATGGCACGTTGATGGTGCTAAGATACCTTGAGTTAACAGATCAACATAGTCAGAAATCCAAATCTAAGAAGGGTTGATACTGTTTTGATTATAACTTTTGATTCGTTTGGAGTTTCAAGGCCTATAATATATTAAATCGAAACTCTCAACGAATCCTACAAGAATCACGGCCTATGGCAGTGAGAGGCATAATTTAAAGCCGAAAAAGGCATGAAAACTTGTGTTTGGGCCTTCCAAAGTTTTTTCCCAATTTTGAGTTTATTTGAATTTTTTCGTAATTTAATTATTCCTTGCGTAATTAGAGTTTTCAGCTTATTGTTTAATATTTAAAGGATGTTTTCATGTGTTTTAGGGTTAACTATCATTATTCTAATTTTATAAAAATTGTGACTACTCTGTTAGTTCTTTTTGAGCGATTCTCTTGTATTCTTCTCTGTGAATTATCTGTTGAAACTAACCTGTTGAATAATTGTTATTCTATCCGGTTTCATTTTCCAATGCACTTTTTGTAAGACCTGGGAAGTAAACTGGAAGTCCTTAAAATCAAACTATATATATAGAACCAATGAGTCATGTAGTGTAGTCCCCTCCCTCCCTAGAAAGCACAAAAAGAAGAGACCATGCATTTTGAGAGCTTAAAGAAAGGGATGAAGCTTTTTTTGGGTACTTGTCACGACCAGCTTTTTGAGGCTCGGATCGGAAGACCAGGTAGACCCCCCTGCTCTGCTCTATAAGATTTAAAGTTGTGTATCCATTTTATTAAAATAAACTCTTTCAGTTTTCAATACCATTCCTTGACCTTGTGTTTTGAAGTTTCAATCACCCCAAGGTTGCAAGGAGGATGATTAATTTAATTGCACTTCTAATTGTTGTAGTTATAGGAGAATGATAATGGTATCGAAAAATAATTTTTTGATATTGTAAATTATAATTCAATAAAATTTAAACGAATGTGAAAGTTATTTTTATTTTATTGCTTTATATTACTTCATTATATGCACAATCAATCAAACCAATATTAATAATTCTCGTTTAATTCCGGCATGGTCCCGCATTTTTGTGTGTGGGTACCATAGTGCTATATGTAGTTATATTTCAAATCCCCTTAATAAGATAAGCTTTCATGGTGAATGGCTATGATAACAAGGCTGGCTTGACACAATTGTAGCTTAAAAGACTTAAAAGTGACAATTGGTTAACCTTTTCATTTGAAATTTATTCTATTTATTTTTGAATTTCTAATTTTTAATTAAAATTTTATATTCAAGTTTTGCATGCATATCTCTATAACTAATACATGCAATCTTTCTTCTAACTTAGATAATATTTTATTAATTTTAATTTCAAAAAATATATTTGAAACAACTATTATATGTAGGGTAAATTTTATGTGCACCTTTTATAGATAGACCTAACTTCAAGAATATTTCTTGCCTTTTTTAAACCTTCACTTACACCTTTTCTCAATATTTGTCTAATAATGAAAGTGACATAAATGTCTATTTTACCAATTTATCCCTAATCATTTTGTAAATTTACATATTAACTATTTGGAAAAATTGTATCTAAATTTCTTGAGGTTTATTACTTAATCACTTAAACTCCCTAATATTTCAAATATTACAAATAAACCCCCTAAAATTTGTTCGCGCGTAAAACTTAGACTTCTGCTTTTAATATCCGTTAGTATATCTATTAATAAATTACACCAAGACTCCCTGAAGTTTGTAGAGTATAACACTTAGACATCTCAAATTTAAATTATTATACTTAGACCCCTTGTTAGTTATAAAATTAACAAAATTTATTAAACAACCAAATTATCCGACTTAAACAGAGAAGATATTGTGTAAATTATAGTTTAACCCTTTGTTTGTTTTTTAGTTTTATGACAATAGATAGTATAATTATATAAAAATGATTGTTGATTGAGTTCTTTGATATATTTATACTGATTACTATTTTTTCCTTAAAAATTGGAAATTTTTTGGATTTTATATCAATGAATGATATAATAGAACATACAAATGTGTTAATTAGACTTATTTTCATATATAATGTTGGAAAAATTGCCCTAATGTAAAAAGTCCATTTAGTCCAAGATGCTTCAGGTTTGCCACTCCTAACTTCTAAACGCAATTCATACATTTGAGTCACTTACTAACTTAGGCATTGGAGAGTCGAGCCTTAGAGCTCCTCTTTGGTCCCCAACATCTTTTTCAGGTGATCAAACTCCAGCAAACTGAAGTAGAGGTCATCTAAATTTTGGCATCAACAGTATCTAATTTAAAATATTTTATATTATATTTTTAATTAGAGTATTTTTGGTTTCAGTATAATATTTTAAAACTTAAGGATTCTAAGTATTATACGCTTCAAATTTTAGGAGCCTAGATGTAATTTACTAACAGAAATTAACAGCAAGGGTCTATGTGTCACGCGCGTACAAATCTCAAGGAGCCTATGAGTAATATTTCAAATGTCATGAGGTCTAGGTGATTAATCGACAAACCTCAGAAGGTCTGAATATAATTTTTTCTAATTATTTTAATAAATTTACAAATTAACTATTCTAATAAAATATATATATATACACAAACAAACACACACAAGTAATGCATGATGTATATTGCACATGAACATATTAAACAATAAAGTATGTGTCAAATAATTAATTTTTATTTTGATTATTATTAAACCTAATTATTGATCTATTTTATCGTTCTTTGAATACCTAATCTATTATTTTTATGTCGTAAACACTGTCCATCCCAAACCACATAAAACCTCTAGACTGCCACGCCACAACCTCCACCCACATAAGCCACTCAAAAGTTGATGCCACTTTATTCGACTTTTGATAGTGTCCAATTTAGGCAGTGATTTGGGGCGCTGCCTATTTCAAATTTACGTCCATCTCTCTCTCTCTCTCTCTCCCTCTCCCTCTCTCTCTCTCTAACGTGTTTTGACTAGGTGGTAGAGGATATGCTCTGGTGTTTAGAAAAAGAAGTACGTTGATCATGCGTGTAAGACTGTAGAGTTATTGCGAAAATTGGGTTGTCACTTTTGTGATGCCTTTGGTGATGTGCTAAGTGAATAGGATTTTTATTTTTGTTTGGGTGGTGGTGATGGTGGTGGTAGCTTTAAGTCTACACGCATGGGTGGCGGGTGGGAGGAGAACTTGGAAGCCTGTAGGGGAGGAGTTTGTTGGAAGAAGAAGGGTAAATTTGGTATGTAACCAAAATATTTGCATGACATAAACACTTTTCAGATTGTCATTCACGATCAATTAGGGTAGGACTAAGATTATTGAGATTAGAATATTTTTTGCAAACTTAGATTTTTATGGAGTTTCTTTATGAAGTCTAGATTTTGTAGGTGTTAGATTATCTTAATCTGGACTATCATATAAATGCACTAGTTATTCTCCTTGTCTAGAGACACTACTTAAAAAAAATTGTATTTGAAAGCAATATATAACAAAAAAAAAAAAAGAAAATCACCAAGCAATATAATCACACTGATATTACTGACTCAAAAACAACTTTCCTTTGTTTGAATCCCTTTTGTCATGCTTCATATGATCTTGGTTTACTCTATGTCGAGTAAATTTGTTTTAAGTCCATTGAAAAACAAAAAAAACAGAGTAAGTGAAACAAAAATTACTCCATGCGCCATTAGGAGGTTTGAGGAACACATCTAGAACGATTGACCGGCAGAGTGATATGGTTGTGTTTTAAGTACAGTACATGAACGATTGACGGTTGGAAGAAAAAATACATCTTTCCACCATTATCATTACAAAAAATGACAATTCCAATGGATATCATTGATATTAACTATCAAACCCATCAATTTTAGTGGATCTAAGACTGAAAAGGCAACAAAATGAGATAAAGATACAATTACATTAAATTTGCTGCGTAATGTCAAAGTGAACAATTACCATTAGTGAGTAAAAGAATTGCAAGCTCGAAATTTAGGACACAAATTATACACCCCTTTGAATATACTTAAACTAAAACACATTTATGATATTTT